GTTGATGGGATTGATAAAACCTAAGTTATCCGCCGTTTTGTAGAGGCCGCCATCTTGGATTTTAATTTTATATAGTACATTGTATTCTACTGGTTGAGCACTTTCATTTGATACCCATATTGATGGGATTGATGGGATTGATAAAACCTACGTTATCCGCCACTTTGCGGCCGCCATCTTGGATTTACAATGTTATTGATATTTCTACATTGTATTGTCATCGGAACTGAAGGTGTGTACCAAAATTCAGATCAATCTGACAACAGGAAGGTACTTAAATTTCAATTTCTAATTTTGACCCAAGAAACAAACAGGGTGAGCTAAATAAAACAGTTTAATAAAAACAAGGATGTTATAATTTTATTTCGGTTATTTTTATATAGATTATATTTCCTATGGTAGCTAAATGATGTAGTTGTCCAATTTTTATGAAAAAATTCTCACTCCGCTGTTTTTGATCAGATCGACTTGATTTCTTCCATATGGCGTTTTCTAAGCACTATTGAAATTCGGATAAAATTTATCAAAATCGGACAACTCTATTATATCTGCCATAGAAAAGATCGAAAAATATATACATGTATATATATAAATATATATAAATAATGGAAAAAAATTACAACATCGTTGTTTTTAATCCCACGAGCATAATATTCAGTCTAATGACTTTTACAAACGTGTGACTAAAAATAATACAGTCGAATCCCCGCTAAATCGAAAATCGCGATAATTCGTAAAAAATTGTGTTCCCTTGAAAAAAACTCCCTTGAAAAAAATCTCGATAAATCGAATTCCCGTCTAATTCGTAAAAAAAAGTGATCCCCTTGCCATTTTGACTTATCGGGACTCGACTGTAGTACCTTGTGTATCAAGTGCGGTAAGAACGAGATTACACTCGTGTGAAGTTATACACGAGTGTCGTCTCGTATGTATTTACCGCAAGTGGTACATACGGTGTACCCCTAAAAATTTGTCGTTTTGAGTGGCTGTAGAGCACTATTTAACAATAAATTTTTCTCCGAGTGAAACGAGGAGTTTTCTCGGTTGAAGAGTAGCTAAAAAGCTCGATGTTTTAAAATCATGGTCGAAGACGTTATATTTTTTTTGTATTATTTATATATACGTTTTTCGATCATTCTTAAAGCAGCTATATAATATAGATGTCCAATTTTGATAAAATTTAATTCGAAATTCGATTGCAGTTAAAAACACCATCTGGAAGAAATCAAGTCGATATGATCAAAACCAACCAATTTTTTTTTTTTTTTTGCGTCTAACCATGTCATAAACCATAGGAAAGATCGAAAAACATATATAACAAGACAGGAAGCTAGATTCGGCAAGCCAAAGCTTATACACCCTGTCAGACATCAAATATGTCGAAGAAAACACTTAAAGGCTAAACATCATAGGAGCTATGTTGTTTTCTATTATTAAAAGTCGATCTGATCAAAAACAAAGGCGTGATAATTTTTTTGAAGTGAAAACTTATTTAGCGGCGCTGAGCACTTTTTTTTGTATGGGTAAAAACTTTTAAACTCGCGTCAGGGTCACGTGATGCTGATCGAAAAAGCGTAAGATCGATTTTATTCTCGTATGGGCCGATCCGGCCCGCTCCGACTAATATACTGCGTGCAATAACTACACAATTTTTGGTAAAATTAGATAGATAGAAAAAAGAAGAAGATAGCCTGAGAGACTAGTTTACAAAGAAGCAGAGAGGCGTACAGACGTACAGGCGTATTTCGATTCAGATCGTGATGGTGATCAAGAAGTGCTGATCTGAGGTGTCTCCTTCATTGCGTTACAAACCTCTGAATTTATATTACCCTCTGTATAAAAGAGTATGATGTATACCTCATAAATTTTAGCAATATATTTTTACCCTTGCAGAGCAAAGGGTATTATAATTTCAGTCAGAAGTTTGCAACGCAGTGAAGGAGACACCTCAGACCCCATGAAGTATATATATTCTTGATCAGCATCACCATCTGAATCCAAATACATACGTATGTACGCCTGTCTGTCTGTCCGTTTCTCTTCAATCTAGACTCTCAGTTTTAAAGCTATCTTGCTGAAACTTTACCAAAAGGTGGGTACAGTAGAATCCTGTTATAACGACTCCGCTTATAGTGTCCATCCGGGTATTGCGACGAAATCTCGATGGCTTGATTGGTCCCCAGACAGACTTATACGCTTATATCCTTTTGCTTAGTGCGTCTTCAGGGTATAACGACGAAAACTCGTCGGTCCCTTGAAAGTCGCTATAAGCGGATTCTACTGTAGTTATTTCTCGCAGTATATAAGTCGGAACGAGCTGGATCGGTCGACTATATCGGATAGCTCCCATACAAGAGGTCAAAAAAATAAAGGATAATTAATTATTACGCCGTTGTTTTTCATCGAATTGACTTGATTTCTTCCAGATGGCGTTTTCTAATTACTATTGAATTTTGGATTAAATTTTATCAAAATCGGATAACCCTATCACATAGAAAAGATAAAAAAATATATATAGAAATAAAGGCAAAATAATCATAACGTTGTTGTTTTTTATTCCACGAGCATGATTTTTACAACATCGACTTTATGAACTACCTTTGAACCGAGAAAAAAATTTCATAAATATCGGACAACTATATCATATAGCTGCCATATGAACAATAGTCGAAAATATGGAAAATTAATAGAAAAGTCGTCATAGCTTCGATGTTGTTAGCCTTTACGATTTTGTTCGACATGTTTGATGAATGCAAGGGTATATAAGCTTCGGCTTGCCGAAGCTAGCTTCCTTTCTTGTTTTTAAATAAAATTATAATCGTCGGGAAAGATATTTATACCTTTTCAGAGCAAAGGGTATTATAATTTTGGCCATAAGTTTGCAACGCAGTGAATCAATAATATAAAAATATCGTTTAAAATCTGAAAGTAAAATGAATATTAAAGTTGAAGGTTTGTAGATTGTGTTTTTATAATTTTTATTAATTTTGCATGCTAAATGTGACTATATATATATATTTTACTTTATTATATTTGTAGCATCATTTGTATTCGTCTTTTATGTTTACTTAAAGTTTTAACGGTGTTCCCCCAAGATCCCCCGATTCATTTTTTATTCAGTGTATTTGTTAATATCTTAAGGTATAAAAAAAGTTAAACTGACCGCCACGGCTGGCTCAGATGTAGTCCAATCTGGACGTCCAATTTTCGATGACTTTTCCCAACATTTGCGGCCGTATATCGGCAATAACACGGCGAATGTTGTCGTCCAAATGGTCAAGCGTTTGTGGCTTATCCGCATAGACCAATGACTTTACATAGCCCCACAGAAAGTAGTCTAGCGGTGTTAAATCACAAGATCTTGGAGGCCAATTCACAGGTCCAAAACGTGAAATTAGGCGGTCACCAAACGTGTCTTTCAATAAATCGATCGACATCCGAGCCAGCCGTGGCGGTCATATGCCAGAAATTATATATAAAATGAATTGCCACAAGATTATCTTTCGAAAAAAAAAAAAATTCATGTCAATCGAATAATCCATCGTGGTTTTATTGCAACTTAAAGTTCTATACCTCTAAAAAAACACCCGATATTACTGGCCAAAGAAAGCTCCCACAACAAAAAAGTCCGCTATATCACAATCAGCAATTGAACTACTAGATGATTTAAATTAGATCTACATATATTCTTATTATTTAATTTTAAAAATGTTGTTTTCTTTTTCAATGTTTTTTTTTTTTTTTGTTTCTCACTATAATTATGTTTTTTTTTGTGCAATTTACACGTAATAATCCAAACTAACGGATAAATGCTTGTGGGCGGATAAGAAACCACGCCTTCTTTCTCTTAAATATTATATAATGTATTATTTAAAGTCTGAAACTGAAAATAGCAACGCGTTTCAAATTGAGTCCGATATTTTGTACGGTAGCTATAACTATGTAAACTAGTCTCTCAGTTTTGAAGCTATCTTGCTGAAACTTTCCCAAAAGTTGTGTAGCTATTGCACGCAGTATATAAGTCGGATCGGGCCGGGTCGGGCCGGATCGGCCGACTATATCGGATAGCTCCAATACAAGAGAATGAAATAAAAAAATCTTACGCCGTTGTTTTCTATCAGATCGACTTGATTTCTTCCATATGGCATATTCTAACTACTATTGAATTTCAGATTAAGCTGATTAATTCGTATGGGAGCTATCCGATATAGTCGGCCGATCCGGTCCGTTCCGTCTTATATACTGCGTGCAATAACTACACACCTTTTGGGAAAGTTTCAGCAAGATAACTTTAAAACTGAGAGACTAGTTTGCGCGGAAACGGACAGACGTGCAGACGGACAGACGTACAGACGTACAGACGTATTTCGACTCTGCTCTTGATGCTGATCAAGAATATATATACTTTATGGGGTCTGAGGTGTTTCCTTCACTGCGTTGCAAACTTCTGACTGAAATTATAATACCCTTTTGCTCTGCAAGGGTATAAAATAGTAAGAGTTTCGATGGTGTTTAGCCCTTATGCATTTTGATCGGCTTGCCAAAGCTAGCTTCCTTTCTTGTTTTTAACTACTACTACTTTTTACTACTAATTTATATTGTTTATAATTATACAGATAAATATAAAAACAGATATGCAATATATAATTATCTAATAGATTTCTGTTTTAAATGCAAGGGTATATGCATTTCGGTCGCCCTCTTCTTTTTCTGGGCTCTGTATAATGTTTTTCAAGATCATATGTAATGTATGGTTTGCAAAAATTAAGAAACGTGTAGATTATTGTGCATCTAAAAATACTTTTCCGAGCACATTTCTTGTTTGCGAACAAAAATATTGCTTAAGATTCGTGACATACAGAATATTTATGCTCGCTTTTCAATTTTGTTTAAATAGTTGTTTTTGCTTCAGCAAAAATAGGTACAGCGCTTGCAACGTGTATTGTAAGTATTTTTTCGATGCAACCAACTTATATAAATCGTGCTTTTATCGCACTGGGAGAATGTTTATTTTTCATCGTTAATCGTAACATCAGTAGACTGTTCCTTTAATAAGTTTGGTTTTATTTTTAAGTAAACAAATTGTTTTAAAAAATAATTACCCGTTTTGTGATTAGATATTAAAAACCTATTTAATTTTTGGTTGGAGTTATTGCTAAATTACCTGACAAAATGAGCGTAAGTTTAATGGTACAATTTCAAAAGAATGTTGTCCCTCTGTCCTTTTTTCTTTTTTAGTTTTAAAGATTTATTGAAGAGGTTCTTGTTGTACGAGTAAAAGATAAGTCAAACCATCTGGGATCAGACGTCGTATAAGCTGAAACCTGTATCAATTTACAGTTAGAAGTTCAATTTTTTCATTTCCCCGGCCCTTACAACATCATTAATGAGGTGTAATGAAAAACAATTCTTTAAGTATCTGGAATTTTCTCTCTGTCTTTTTCCATAAAAACTAATCTTTCAATTATGTTATCAGCTATCTTGATAAAACTTGACTGAAAGTTGGGTAGGATTAGTATGGGAGTAGAGATCGCAAGACGAAAGGATAAAAACAAGAAAGGAAGCAAGCTTCGGTTAGCCGATGCTAATATACCCTTGCAGTCTAAAAATAAAAATATGTCAAACCAAATACACAGAGGCTAAATTATAAAATAATTTTCGATGATTGTTCATATGAGAGCTATATAATTCTTATCAAATTTAATTCGAAATTCAAGACTCATTAGAAAATTCTATATTCGAAAAATTATGCTTGTCTGATGAAAAACAACCATGTTATCATTCTATTAAGATTTTTCGATCTTTCCCATGGCAGCTTTATAATATAGTTGTGCAATTTTTATGCATTTTTTTCTCAATTGAAAGGTATCTAAAAAACTCGATGTTCTAAAATCATGCTCGAAGACGTTATATTTTTTTTTGTATTATTTATATATATGTTTTTCGATCATTCCTAAGGCAGCTATATGATATAGTCGTCCAATTTTGATAAAATTTAATTCGAAATTCGATTGCAGTTAAAAACACCATCTGGAAGAAATCAAGTCGATATGATCAAAAACAACGGCGTGATCATTTTTTTTTTTGCAATCTAACCATGTCATTCTCTGATGAAAATCTCTGGTATGGGAGGTATCCGATATAGTCGCCTGATCCGGCCCGTTCCGACTTATGTATATACTGCGTGCAATAACTACAGAACTTTTGGTAAAGTTTCAGAAAGACAGCATTTAAAATGAAAGACTAGTTTACATAGAAACAGAAAGATACCCTTGCTCTGCAAGGGTATACAAATAATGGCAAAAAAAATGAAAACGTTGTTGTGTTTTATCCAGGGACCGCAAATAATTATTATGAGTTTAAAAAAATTGAAGCCCAAAAAAGTCTCCAAAAAAATTGGAAAAAATTGTCATAAGTTAAATTTTCATGGCGAATTCAAAAACAAGATAAATGTTTTTTTTTAATTATTATGAAAAAATTGATTTTTTATAATTAAAATTAATTTTAATAATTAAAAATTTGTAATAATTATTAAATATTAATTTTTATATAAAAATTACGCAATAACTTTTATTTTTAATTTTTATTATATAAATTGAAAAATAAAAATTATTCGAAAACTTTTATTTTAAAAATTGAAAATAAAGATTAAATATATATATCGGACTTTGATTTTTTATGTGCAAAAATCGTTTTTGCGGAACTCGTACGTTTATTTATTATGTCCAAAAAGCGTTTCTGCTCAATTCGGACATTCATTTTTTAAGGGCCAAAACGCTTTTTGCGGAACTCGGAAAATTTTTTGCAATTTTCTGCTCAACTCGGCTAGCCCCCGTCTGTTCGTCTGTCCGTTTATCTTTAAACTTGTCTCTCAGTTTTGAAGCTATCTTGCTGAAACTTTACCAAAAGCTGTGTAGTTAATGCACGCAGTATATAAGTCGGAACGCGCCGGATCCGGTGACTTTATAGGATAGTTCCCATACGAGAGATTGAAAAATGTAGCATAACGATTTCTATCTGATTTCATATCTAATTTCTTCCAGATGGTGTTTTTTTAACCCCTATCGAATTTCGAATTAAATTTTATCATAATAGGATGACTCTATAATATAGCTACCATAAAAATTATATATAGAATTATTGTAAATAAATTGAAAACGTGGTTGTTTTTAGTCCACGATCATGACTTTTGGAATATCGAGTTTTCTAACGACTCTTGAATAACAAATAAAATTTCATCAAAATCGGACGACTATATCATATAGCTGCCATATGAACAATAGTCAAAAATATGAAAAATTAATAGAAAAGTCGTCCTTGCTTCGATGTTGTTTAGCCCTTGTGTATTCTGTTCGAAATATTTGATGACTGCAAGGGTATATAAGCTTCGGCTTGCCGAAACTAGCTTCCTTTCTTGTTTTTATTAAGCTTTGTTATCTGATTCGGGCATCTGCTAATTAGTATGCTCATTTTATAGCGAAAGTTTGCAATCAAATTGTGTGAAGCAAAAGTGTTGGGACTGGATTGATCAATATTCCTTGTAATTGAGATTAAATAGCTTATGGTTTTGTAGCCGCAGTGGAAAAAAGGGTTTTAACTCTTAGCATTAATTTTTTATTTTAAAAACACTTTTAGAAAGTTGAAATATTTATTTTAAAATATAAAATAAACGACCAACTCTATGTTTTACATTAAAATATAAAAGCTTATATTTTATACCATAAAATTATTGAAGAAAAATGTTCTTTCTTGTTTATTTAATAGGACGAATTGACTAAGGAGCAAACTGCTCGTAAGTTACTATAGTACTGAATCCAATTTTCAACAATACAGTTACTTTTTTTCAACAGTGCTACGAAACGCATTTAATGCTTTTGATCCAGAAAAAAATGGCTATATCAATACTGCAATGGTTGGTACAATTCTTAGTATGTTGGGTCATCAACTTGATGATGCTACATTGGCTGATATTATCGCTGAAGTCGATGAAGATGGATCGGGTCAAATCGAATTTGAAGAATTTACTACATTGGCCGCCCGATTCCTTGTTGAAGAGGACGCCGAAGCTATGATGGCTGAGCTGAAAGAAGCGTTTCGTCTTTACGATAAAGAAGGAAATGGATATATTACTACCAGTGTTCTTCGAGAAATCCTGCGCGAATTAGATGACAAATTGACTAATGACGATCTGGATATGATGATTGAAGAAATTGATTCCGATGGTTCAGGAACTGTGGATTTTGATGGTATACAAGACTGACAAATTTTTAAAACTCATTTGATACAATTGTTTATTTTTAGAATTTATGGAAGTTATGACTGGTGGCGATGATTAAAAAGCAATCTAAAATAATACCTTTCTATACTACTGACAAAACAAGAAAAAATGTCGTTGTAAATTATTAAAACCTTGAAATGTGTGGACTTAAATTGTTTATAAAAAATGATTAAGAAATTAAAGTTATATCAGATGTTAAGTTAAACAATAAAGATCCAGAATACAAGTTAGTTATCGATTAAACACTTGTACATTTTTCGTACATAGGTACAAGGATTGGTGTTATTATTATACCCTTGCAGAGTGTATTATAATTTCAGTCAGAAGTTTGCAAAGCAGTGAAGAAGACATTTCAGCAGTGGAGTAACTACCGGCGTTCCATGTGTTCAAGGAACACAGGCCCCCGAGCTTAGGGGGCCCCGAAAGGCCCCGAAGGGGCCCTTCAAGGCTTGTCGTGGATTACGGAAAATTAATGAAAAATTACATTTTTCGTAATTCAGATCTTTGGGGGCCCGTTCGATGCCTAAATATAAAGATGATATTTCAGACACAATTTCAAGCCAACTACTGACCTCCCGTCACCGAACACAAGTTTTTCTGACGTAGTTACGCCACTGCATTTCAGACCCCATAAAGTAAATATATTCTTGTACGTCTATTTATGTTTCTATGTACACTAGCCTCTCAGTTTTAAAGTTAGTTATTGCACGCAGTATATAAGTCGAAATGGGCCAGATCGGCCGACTGTATCGCATAGCTCCCATACGAGAGAATGAAACGAAAAATTCTCACACAGTTGTTTTTGATCAGATCGGCTTGATTTTTTTCCAGATGGCGTTTTCTAATTATTATTGAATTTCGGATACAATTTTATCAAATTCGAATAATTCTATCATATAGCTGCCATAGGAAAGATCGAAATATATATATATAAATAGTGGAAAAAAATTATAACGTCGTTGTTTTTATTCCCACGAACATGTTTTTAAAATATGGAGTTTTTTAATAACCCTTGAATGGAGAAAAAAATTCCAAAAAAATCCGCCAACGTTATCATATAACAAGAAAGGAAGCTAGCTTCGGCAAACCGAAGCTTATATACCCTTGCAGTCATAAAAAATGTCAAACAAAATACATAAAGGCTATAAAATTTACATTCTTTTACTTCACCCGGGAGCTTAGAGCCTCTACAATTTCTTGTAGAGGATTCATTATCATTGATTTTCGATCGTACCGGCAGTGGCGTAGCGTGCCTTGTCGGGGCCCCGTATAAAAAATTTTTTGGGGGCCCTTATATGGAGGTAAAGATTTTTCACAAAAGAAAACAAGAAAGGAAGCTAGCTTCGGCAAACCGAAGCTTTTATACCTTTGCAGTCATCAAATATGTCGAAAAAATACATAACGGCTAAACAACATCGAAGCTAAGACGATTTTTCTATTCATTTTCTATATTTTCGACTATTGTTCAAATGACAGCTATATGATATACTCGTCCGATTTTGATGAAATTTAATTCGGTATTCAAGAGTCGTGAGAAAACTCTATATTCCAAAAATCATGGTTGTCTGATGAAAAACAACGATGTTATCAATTTATTTCCATTAATTCTATATATATTTTTCGATCGCTCCTATGACAGCTATATGATATAGTTATCCGATTTTGATCAAATTTAATCCGAAATTCAATAACAGTTAGAAAACGGCATCTTGAAGAAATCAAGTCGATCTGATCAAAAACAACGGTCTGAGAATTTTTTATTTCATTCTCTCGTATGGGAGCTATCCGATATAGTCGGCCGATCCGGCCCGTTCCGACTTATATACTGCGTGCAATAACTACACACCTTTTGGGAAAGTTTCAGCAAGATAGCTTTAAAACTGAGAGACTAGTTTTCAGGGGTTTTTTTTGTTTAGATGTGATTCTTCTTTTAATTTTTAATAAAGTCCTAACATATGTATATCTATGTAAAGGTAATATTACAAACTTTAATATACCATTTTTCAAATTTCGATTTTTCTTAGTATTATACATGTTGTTCGCGTTTAAAGTTGCAAAAAAACAAAAACCGAATATTAATGTGATACACTGTATATACTGCGTGCAATAACTACACACCTTTTGGGAAAGTTTCAGCAAGATAGCTTTAAAACTGAGAGACTAGTTTACATAGAAACAGACAGACGGACAGATGTGCAGACGTATTCTGATTCTACGCGTGATGCTGATCAAGAATATATATACTTTATGGGGTCTGAGGTGTCTCCTTCACTGCGTTGCAAACTTCTGACTGAAATTATAATACCCTTTTGCTCTGCAAGGGTATAAAAAATATTGTGAGAAGAAATATTTATCTATCACATTATTTACCCATTTTAAAAATAAAAATCAAATTTTAAATATTCACTCTTACACACTTTGGGGGCCCCCTTGGCCCGGGGGCCCCGTATAATTGATACGGCATATACGGCGGTAGCTACGCCCCTGCGTACCGGTGATAAGCCAGTAGCGACTTATCCTAGCGGTGGGGTTGCCACCTGGCGCCATCTAGGAGTGACGAAAGTTCTATTGTTGGGTCCATAGTAACGTGGACGAGGGGTGTGCGGGTCCGGGGAGCCGAAATTTCTTACTAATGTTAAGTGAGCGATAGAGCATAGAAGTGGTGGAGATTTGGAAAAAGAGACCGTTTCTTTTTCTCGGGGAGCCTGGGACTCGACTCGAACCCGGGCCTTCCGGACCGGAGGCCAGCGCTCTACCTGCTGGGCCACCGTCCCCCCAAAGGCTATAAGGGTTTTTTCTATTATTTTTCCATCAAATGGCAGCTATGTATATGATATAGTTGTCCGATTTGGATGAAATTTAATTAGTAATTCAAGAGTCATTAGAAAACTCTATATTCCAAAAACGATGTTATAATTTAATTTCCGTTATTTCAATATAAATTTTTCGATCTTTCCTCTGGCAGCTATATATAACGTGGTCGGATTTTAATGAAATTTTTGAAGTGAAACTTCTTTAGGCGCATGAGGATTGTTTCGCCTTGCACCTTGCAACACGAATTTTATGATAGATGCGGCTTACCCTTGTGCAAGCCCAAGATCTCGATGAGAGAGTGTATGTGGGGTGTTTGCCCTTGTGCTAACGAGAGTCCAAAAAGATGTAAAGAGACAGAGAGGTGTTCTGTGTTCTACCAATATCTCTATTGAACTAATCTCAGCTTACAAGCTTTATGCTGATGACAAGCGTGCAAGCTCGATTGGTTACAGTAAGTGGATCTTATTTACAAGTACAATTCAGGCTATTCATTTATGATGCTTCTACATACTACATACATACATACATAAGAAGGTCATCTACGTACATGTCGTTCTGTATAGTAATCGATCCAATTGGGAATTCCTTTTCGTATCTTTTGGCAATGAATTAAGACTTTGTATAGCCAAAAACGGAGCACTAGCAAGGCCGTAAGTCATCGTATTTAAACGAAACAATTGTAAAGGCTGCTGAATAGTATTTCTCCAGAAAATAAGCTGGAAATTACGGTCTTCAGGGTCGACCATAAAGTGCCGATACATTTTGGTTACGTCTGCTGTGAATACGAATTTGTGCAATCTGAATGCCAACAAAGTTATGATCAAATTTTGTTGGATCGTTTGTCCAACCATTAGGCCGTTTAGTGACAAATTTGATGTTATTTTGGCTGAGGCGACAAAAACCACACGCAGTTTAGTAGTTGAGCTTTGAGGCCGCAACACTGCATGGTGCGGAATGACATAATGAGGTTGATCAATCCTAAAATCACACGCAAGTTCCATGTGGAACTTTTCTTTTGTTCAGGTAAGCGTTCTAATCGGCGCTCAAGATAAAGGAACCGCCGTCTAGAATTTTTCAAAGAACTTCCGAAACCCCTTTTTGCTGTTCTCCTCAAACGATTCAATTTTCCAAAACTTTGCTAGGGCATCGCTAAGATCCTGGGTTTCCACAACATTACACGAAAATGAATGAGCCCTTGCACCTGATCCGAACCCGTCTTCGATTTTTCCTCCAACAATCCAGCCAAGCGATGAGTTGAGTAGACACGGTAAGCCAGGACCTAGCGATAGCTTTTGCCCAGTAAGAAAATCAAAAAATTCCTGCGTACTAATCAAGATATCGATCTTTTGTGGCTTAAAAAACTGTGGATCCGCCAAATCAATGTCTTCCGGGATAGACCATTGTGATATGTCTATGCAACGCTCTGGCTGCTGCTGAGCTATTGATTTTGTAACAAAAAACTGCAGAGTCCATTGTCGTCGTGACCGGATGGTTGCTTCTAAAAAAACCTTATGCGCTCTCGAATGTTGCCAATTCCCGATACCTCTAAATTCTTTTGCTTTAATGGTAATTGAAGGGTTCTCGCAAAAGTTTCCGTAATGAAATTGACTTCAGAACCTGATATACGCCACACTTGTCTTTTATTAAGATAAGCGCTGTTGGGATGAGCGAGCGTCTCGAGTTGCGCGAGTTACAATAAATCCTGAGGGGACTTCCTTCAGAGGTTGGTAATTGTCCTTTCTAAGATTTTTAATTCGGGAGCGATGGATGAAGTACTAGTTGAAAGAATAAGACCTTCTTGGTTTGTGTCTACTCAGAGAGTGAATTTTATATTTTTCAGCGGCGATCATGAGACCTCCGCTGCCCAAAAGTACATAGTTTTATATATTTCTTATATACTAACAAAAAGTGCATAAAAGAACTAAGTATGTTTCAAGTGTCGCTGCTTCAAGTGGTGGTCCGCTGAGTCGGTGTCTTATTTCCTGGTCTGAGTGGAGTAGGGGTTTCCTTGTACTTGCTGCGTTGACAGAAATGGGTCTGAAAGTCAACGACTGGCTCTTTGGGTCGGTCATTGTTCTAATGACCATAAAAGTCAAGAGCCTCAACAATTAGTTTATCATGTGAGGGTAGCTCTGGGAGGTTTGGCTGGGGGATCAGTGTGCCGTGCCTGTACGGTAACTCCTCCCCCCCCGGATTGAAGTGATGGCCAGAACGAAGGGGTGGACATCACGAAACTTGTCTCGGGTAAAGTTGGAGTGTAGGTGATCCTTCTCTTTCGGATGATTATTATAAAAATGACAATTAGTCCAATGATTAATACTACATATAGCGTTCCGAAGTTAGTCGTAGTAATTTTTTTTAAATATATAATTGAATTTTGATCCTCAATTGTCTTTAGGTTTAATTTATGTAGACTTAGGTCTTCAACG